AAAATTTTAAGCATCAACAATGGAGAAGCTAGGCACACCAATAAAAATTAAAATTATGTGCCTGACCCAGGTACATAAACTCTGCTGATGTTCTAAAAGAATAGATTTCTTGGTTTTTTAAAGTATATTTAGATGTGGCTACAAAATCCAAAGAAGGAGCGCCATCAACTGAAATAACAATGGTAATGTTTTTCATTTTAAAGACAAAAGGCATTTCTCATTGAAAACTGACTGCTGCCAGCATCTCCATGGTTGGGCAGCATATTGTATGACTCAATCATCCTTCCTTCCCTGATGGGACAGCCTCCATGGAAACGTGATTTCATCCATCTCTTATGTGGAGACTGCGTATGATGTCTGGCCTCTTCCTCTAGAGAAAGGTTGTTGGTTTTAGATGCATCTTGCAAAGAGCCTCAATCAACTCAAGGGAAGTAGAAGTCTGATAAGTCGATTCACATTTGAAATTAGTACAGAGACGGAGGCAAAGCATTGGATTACCTGCCTATACTTTTCATCATTGCCTTTATTGAGATACTTGTGTTTCAACTAAGTAGAGGTACAGAAGAAAGAAAGTTGAATACATATTATACCCTAGTTTCTGATCATTTAAGAGTAAATAATGGAGCAGATGTGAACAGAAATCAAACCATAAAACTCCATTTTTCCATGTAAATTTAGTCATAAGGAAACTAGGAAATCTGTCTATTCTTGGATCTCAGATATGTTTCCTCAATGAGATATTATTAAGAATTAAATATACAGAAACCATAATTCAGGTAATGCTTAATTCAGGAAAAAGGCTCATAAAGGGCCTGGGACTGTTAAATGTTTTGAGTTTGAAGGGGAATATTTTATTAAGTTTTATGAGACTTAGCAAGAATTTTCTTAGGTATTGGTAGCAGTTGAAGACCAAGCAATAGGCAAACTGCTCACTCTATGTATTATGAGACAGAGTTTGTATATTTAGAAAACACATTCTGGTTTCATTTAGTAAATGAAAAAAATTGAATAAGGTGACTCTAACTTTGCAATTCGCTTACTATAATAGCTGAAGATTATTATTTTATAATTTTTCTAGGTGCTTTTCATATAGGCTTTTATTTTTAAAGCATTTAAAAAGCAAACACAATAGTAACTATAAATTCATCAACAAATCAATGACACTAGTATAAGAAGTTGAACATTTTGACGTTTTTATTGATATATTATTTTAAAGTAGGGCTTTGGG